AAAGCAGGTTAACATTTGTAGGCACACAGAACACAGATACTTTAAGTGTTAACACCGTTTCATGTGAAATAAGGCCAGAAGGGACTATGATTTCATCTTTTCATACCCATGATACAGGCCCACTGCATTTATTCTAAATATTTCCTGACAGATGTTCCTGTCCTGCAGTGGCCAGCAGTTTGCTGCCAGTTTCTATTTCCACTGGAAATCTTGGCCCTTGCTTCAGTGCATGATTGTGCATGAGTGATAAAAAGCATGACAGCAGAATGATTGTGCAGTACCTTGCTGGTAAACACTACATCTGGCGAGACATGGTGAGTTGTGCATGCACAGACCCAAGAGTTTTGGATGCTTCATGTGTGCTGCACGTTTGCAGTAAGCCATGTGGTACAGGGGTCACACAGGGCACACCTCTTCCTGGCTCCTGAAAGAAAGGAAGGCACCTGCTTAGCCAGAGAAATTTGGCACCACTGCATTTGCAGACTCAGAACTGATCAGTCAGATATTTCTGTTCATTAAAGGCTTCACTGACCGGGTTTGTCAGGGTCCTGAGGGTGTCAACAAGGCTTCCTGGCCCTGAGCAGCCTCACCTGGGGCCTCCCCCCACACACCTGATTTGTGGGCCCTGAACTCCCTCTGAGCTGAGGCCTGGCCAGGTAACTGCTTCTTGTCTAAGCTCTGGTGTAGGTGTGTTTGTTTTGTGTGTTGGTTCTGGGCTTGTTTGTTGTCTGGGTTTGGTTTCTAGGTGACCCTCAGGCTTGCCTCTAGCTTAGCTTTGGGCTTTATCTTCTGTTCTTGTCCCTATGGCTGTGCCACAGAGCTGCCCTGTGCTGTCCCTGTGGCTGAGGCTGTTCCCAGCCCCCAGCTCTGTCTGTCCTGCAGGACTGTGCTGTCAGTGAGTCCTGCTGCCCGTGCTCTGCTGTGCTCCTCTTTGGCTCCTTGCTCACCTGCCCAGCTCTGTCTGTCCTGCAGGACTGTGCTGTCAGTGAGTCCTGCTGTCCCTGCTGTGCTCCTCTTTGGCTCCTTGCTCCCCTCCCCTCAGGAAGAGGTACTTCAGCTACTTGCTGACAGAGGTGAAGAGAGTTCAGGACAGCACAGTCCCAAGGAACTGAGGTTTTCTAGGGTTGTAACCTGCAAGCTGTGATTTTTTGGCAGGAGAAGAATGATTATCATGTGAGGAAAGTTATCTGATGTCTCTAGATATGGTGTGGGGCAAGTGATTTTTACTACATCAGATCACTAATCAGTAAAGCCTTAAAAAGTTTACAGAGGTATGGCACCTGATGATAACTTGTACAGCTATCTCAAAATAGGGCTTGGTGTACACCAGCATTTGAGAGCACTGAAAATAATCTTTTTGGCAACCACTACTACAAGGACAGCTTACCTAACTGGAACCTTAATAGTCTTTTTTAATTGATATATATTCAAAATGTGTTTAGAAAACCAAGCATCTTTAGCAACAGAAAAATCAGAAACAAATTACAATTGATAAAACTACCTACCTGCTTAGTTTTTTTTTTTTTTTTTTTTTTTTTTTAATTTGTTGCTCTGCTCCTGATTACTGTAATTTTAATGTCTTCCCCTACTGATTGATTTACTGGGGGGGGGAGGATGCCATAGTGTCACACATGAGTGTAACCCAAACAACATTAAAATTTCTAATGACTTTTAAGAATGCATCATGAAAGAGATGCCACCAGAGAAATTTTGTAAAAGGTGTAAGCATTTTGAGGTAAAAAGATGAAGTGACAATGGGGAGAATGTTAAGATTTAAAGGTGCAAACGAACTACTACAGTCTCTAATAAAGAAAACAGACCTTGAAAGCACTTTATACCAGTAAGTATTTAAAAAAAAACCAACAAAGCTAGGCACATAAAGCTTATTGCTGAATTCCTTTGTGTGTTAGTATATCCATGCAAGATGTTCTGTTTAGTTTTGCAATGCAAATTTTTTACTGCTTCCCTAAACAGTTTGCACCCTTCCCTAAATTATGAGGGCTGACAAAGCATCTTCTTGAAATATCCTGCCTGCAGCTTAAGAGAAGTGACAGCCCATCTTTGTGATTATTGATTTTTCTGGTCTGTGGTGAAACTCTAGAAACGTGATGACTTTCAGCTGTTAGTGCAGTTGCAATGCTTTCTGTGTGCAATCAGTAAATTGGGCTCCTACAGCTGGAGCTGTTAACACAGAATGGTTGCTGTGGTGGGAGGAGGCTTTTCCTGAGCAGAAACCCAAAAGAATACAAATTGGGTGGAGAAAATGGCATCATCAGGGACTTGCAAAACCTGCTTCAGTAACTCATAGAGCAGTTGCCTTTCTGGTAGAGGCTTACAAAGAGTGACTTCAATAAAAAAATATTTTTGCAGGTACAGTACAAAAGGTAAAAAGGCTTGAGGGTTTTCTGCTGTAAAGGTCTTATTTAATGGTCTGTAGAAGAAATCTATTTTTTTTTTTAGTTGTGGGAAAGAATGAATATTGTAACAGCCATTTCTCACATATATAAATGAGGCAATGGTCAAATAGAATTGAATGAAACTTTTTGATTCTGACACATGCTTAATTTTAAGGAATATAATCTATTAGAGGAAAAAGTGAGTAATTTTTCTTGAAGGCAATCTGACACAAGCAGAAAGCAAAAATCTGGCAATTCTTTTTGGAAAGTGATTCCTTTTACTCTTGCAGGGACTGAGATCCGTTTGACTGATTTATTTGTGTTAGAAGACTAACTTTTTAAAAAGGCATATTGGTATGTGAAATACTTGAAATATGAGGTCAAGATGTATGAGGCAGAAAGTATATAAGGAATAGGTGAGTAACTGCAGAAAAATAATGGAAAAGCTGAGAGCATGAGCTTTCTCACCAGCTGTCACTAGGTGTGTGTTCTCTCCTTGCTCCATGCACCAGCATCCAGAGGGTCACTTGTGAGTTTTTGCTTCAGGAGCTGAGGACAAAAGGTCAAATACCTCCTGGTATTTATTATTATAAAGGAAAACCTTATACACTGTAATCAACAGAGACATTGCAGAAAATCTAAAAAACCGTCCAAAATGTTGGCAGCTGTGGAATCATAATGTTTGACCTTTCTGATTCTAAAACTGCTGATTTTTCTTTTTTCAATGTTTCCTCTTCTGATGCATTTTGAAACTTGCATATAAATAATCATACTGACTTTTTTTTTTTTTTCTGGGTATGAAACCAGAATTGTAGACAAAAGAAATATTCATGTTCTAGCCCGAAATTTAAGTAGCCATTTAAATGGCTAAAAAGAAATCAATGCATTTTATGGTACAGTCTAATTAGAGCTCTTTAGGTTTTGGCTATGTGCGCCCATAGGTGTAAATATAAGTATTTGTTGGTGAAATGGGCGGGTGGCTGTTCTTAGGAGCAGCAGGCTGTCGAAGGAAGGGGACCAGGACACCAGTTGGTTCATCACAGGCCCCTCAGGTCCGGTCC